AACTTATAAATATAAGCTAAATAGCAAAAGTAAATATATACATATATATAAAATTATTATTAAGTACAACAAATTGCCATGAGTCCAATGAAAAACTACACTCAACAACCAACAAATAAACAAACAAAATAACCAGCAACAAAAACCAAAGAACAAATGATTAATTAAATAAACTTATGAAATATAGCAAATGGAAATTAAAAGCAAAAACAAACATTATAAACTATTAAATGATATTATATTTAAAATAAAATAAAAATGACAGAGAGTACATTCTATATATACATAAGAAATATAAATAAATATATTTATCATATATCAATGTATGTTATAAGTAGCGGCATGTTATTGTAATTTAATTAACATAAAAGCAATTGATGAACAATTAAAGAAAGAGAAAAAAACAAACATAATTCAAATAGTTCTGTTTTCATCGTTTGTAATATTTTGGATGCGTATACAATAATTTTCATGGACTTGGACCTTGAAGGAGGAAGGACCCGCAGCAGCGAATATTTGTAGAACGAAATGTTCAAATCTGTTGGGCATCCAAATTGTTTTCTCAGAACTCAACCAGTAAGGAAAGTAGTAAAGTCGGACTGGGCCGACTATATGATACCCTTCACCACTTGGGGTATATCCTACATATCCTTACAATTGCATGTCAAAGTGCCCTCGAGGGAATGTGCTCATGTCGTTCTGTAACCTATGCTAAATGTATTTTTATTTGGGTAGATTTATGTAAAATCGGAAGAATATATATGTATATATATCGAAATCTGAAACGATTTCCCCGAAACCTACCACTCATCATTCGAGACTAAATTCAGTACGCTATGCCAAATTTCGTGCAAATCGAAGGATATAAAGGGACTTTGGTGCACTATTTACCTAAACTCGGACGAAAATATATATGGGGGCTATATCCAAATCTGAACCCATTTTCACAAAATTTGACACACGCCGTTCTAGACCTGAATCAATACGCTATGCCAAATTTCGGGCAAATCGAAGGATATATAGGGACTTTGGTACACCATTTACATAAAATCGGAAGAAAATATATATGGGAGCTATATCTAAATCTGAACCGATTTTCAGGAAACTTAACACATACCATTCTAAACCTTATCATTTCGCTATGCCAAATTTCGTTCAAATCGAAAGATATATAAGGGCTTTGGTACACCATTTACCTTAAATCGGACGAAGATATATATGGGAGCTATATCTAAATCTGAACCGATTTTAACGAAAATTTAACACATCATTCTAAACCTTATCCATTTCGCTTTGCCAAATTTAGGGCAAATCAAAAGATATATAGGGACTTTAGTACACCATTTACCTTAAATCGGACGAAGGTATATGTTGGAGCTATATCTAAATCTGAACCGATTTTCAGGAAACTTAACACACATCATTCTAGACCTAATTCATTACGCTGTGCCAAATTTCGTGCAAATCGAAAGATATATAGAGACTTTGGTGAAACCAAATACATTAAGTTGGACGAAAATATATGTGGGAGCTATATCTAAATCTGAAACGATTTTTCCCAATTTCAATAGGGTTTGTCCTTGGGCCAATTAAGTGACCTGTGCCAAATTTCACCCAAATCGGATCATAAATGGGAACTGTACTTTGTTAACAAAAATACATGGACGGACGGCCAGACGGACATGCATAAATCGACTCAGAAAGTGATTCTATGCATATTCACAAAAGGAACCATGGGTCTATCTCGATTATCTTTGCCTGTTACAAACATATGCACAAAGACATAATACCCTGTACCACAGTGTGGTGAAGGGTATAAAAAGTGCCCACTGGGAAAATGAACAAAATTTCAATCGAACTACAAATAGTTAGAATTTGTCAGTAGACAGCATTTTAATCTATGTTGTGAGGGTATTATAGCTTTATTTTTTTGCAACGCTAAGAAATATTGGTCTTAGACCCAGATTTTATTGTACACAGGCCAATAGCCACGAAATTTTGCATGTCGAGCCGATTCTGGTTAAAGAAGTCCCTTTTTTGTAATTATCGGTTAATATTTAGGAGATGAAATTAACCAAATACTTAATTTTTGCCTGTTTTCTGGTCGCTATAAAGGCTACAATTATGCCCCGAACATAACTAAATTTTACACGGAGAAAGGAATCAGACCAAGGAAAAAACACGACTCTTTTCATTATAATCGATCAATATTTAGCGGTTCAAATGAGTCCAGACTATGGGGTATATAGTTACTTCTGAAGAACATAGACCCGAGAAGTTGATAGTATAGCCAATAGTAGTTGTTGTAGTAAATTGATATCAATTACAGTTATGTATCTACTCGGATGTGGGAGTTATACTTAAATATTTTGTGCTCCTACGAATTCGGATATTATTTAGAATCCCATTACCACACTAATGGACGGAAATATGCCGCTGATCGCTTTGGAATCAAGTATAGGGGATAATTTGGACCGAAAAAAATGTTTTTTTTTTGTCAGGTTTTCTAGCCTGTCTAGAGGTCATAATTATAAGCCAAATAACAAAAATTTTACACGGGGGAGGGGATCTGGTCTACTATTACAAATGTCTGTTTTGATATTGATCGGTCAATAATTGAGCCAAGACATCTGTATGTAAAATAAGAAATTTTAAATCTTTAAAAGTTCTTTTAAAGTTCAGGGTAAGAAAGATGAGTTGTTAATCACTAATCGGTCAAGAGAGTTCAAATATCGAAAAATATTGTCCAGGCTCGGAATATAGATCCGCAGAAATTTAGACTTCAGTGGTAGTTGTGTACGGTATCGTATGGTCGGCGCCCGCTCGTCTATACTGCTCAACTCACTGGTGTCATTTTTTTACATGGAAAAAAATATAAAAGAAACATATAATTTATTGTCCGGATTTTACTATAAACATTAAAAATTTTGGTCGGTACTAAAGATGGAATATTAAGCAACGTATATATGTATCCCCATTCTGTTTTTGGAAAACCCACGTTCTTGATGTGGGTTCGGAATATCACTTTAATGTACAAAATAAACAAAACAGTTGTTAAGTTCAGCCGGGTCAAACTTTGTATACCCTACACCACGTCATGTGCATTCGAAATTCCTTTAATTGGTCGGAACATTTATGTGTGGACCATGTTGTTTATGGTCAGATAAAAAAATTACCTATATAAAACCTAAAAATATGAATTTTTCGCTCACCAAGAAATCGCGGTACTAAATTATAACCTATTTGGTGGGGAAATTTTGCTAAAACATAAAAATTACAGAAATGGGTCGGATATTTTATATATATTTAAATAATAATATATATAAAATAATATTCATTTCGATTAGAAAATTCGGTCAAAACCTACATGACAATGGTGCTATATACTTATATTGGGACTATATTAAAACATGGACCTACATTGATTATTTTATACCAAAATACAAGTCTTGAAAATACCAAAAATAGTTCGGTACAGTTATTATAGGGATACTTTTTAGTGGGAAGATTTAACACACCCATGAGATTCTAAAAAAAATGCTCAAAACCTGGGTTCTACGTGGAAACTTGAGAAAATATATATAATTTTTGGTAGGTAGATTTTCTACATAAAGAATCGAGATAGACCCATGGTTCCTTTTGAGAATATGCATAGAATTAATTTCTAAGTCGATTTATGGATGTCCGTCAATGCATACGTGTGGACAAAGTACAGGTCGCATTTATGATCCGAATTGGACAAAATTTGACACAGGTCACTCATACGGCCCAAGGACGAACTCTATTGGAATAGCTCCCATATACAATTTTGTTAGATTTCATCTAAATGGTGCACCAAACTCCTAAGGTTTTGTCCAATTAAGACAAGATTTTGCACAGTGCACAATTTGATGTCTGTGAAGTTTTATTTGAAATCGGTTCAGATTTAGATATAGCTTCCATATAGTTTCATCCTTTTTTATGTAGATCATACACCAAACTCCCGATGTTTATCCGATTGAGACAAAATTTTTACAGCACACAGCGTGATGTCTGTGTTAAGTTTTGTTGAAGTCGAATCTGATTTAGATATAGGTCTTGTCTATAGTTTCGTGCGATTTGAGGTGTTTCAAATAGAATGACGAGTTTGTGGTACTATATGGTACTGGAATTAGCACAATTGCTAGGAAAATATAGAACTTGCATTTCGAAATTTGGTGTATATATTGAATTTTGTATCCGATAACGTTTTTATCCTCTGATAGTACGGTATGCCAAACTTAGGCGGGATCTAAACAATGATAATATTTTTCCTGGGGTAGATATTTCACTGTCTAAGAAACCCATACCCTGCACATTGTTTAGTATTGAAAAGGGGATACATCGGCCAAATTTTTACAAGGACACTTAAAAACCGACCTTTTCGAAACAATAAAGATTTTATTTTTATTTTCAGTAGTGTTGCCTCCAAGTAGCCTCCAAATATAAATCCACCATAGTTCATATATTTTGGGGAAACTACCCGTAATTTACAACAGAAGTGACATTTCAGGTTCTCGAAGGATAAAACAACTGCAGGTATAAATTTTCAATATAGGTCCAGGTTTTTATATAGCCTCCATATAACAGTTTCCATCGTTTCAGTTATTTTATTCAGTTATTTACAACTTCAAATTCAAGTTTGCAGCCAATTTGTCGGTAAGTTCGAACAGAACGAACATAATTCTCTTTGCTGTGAATTTATACCTTATGAATATATTTCTGCCGTCCAAAGAAATACATTGACGCTTAACATTTTTTAAGTTATATACAAATATTTATCACAATTGCGAATGCAATACGAACTGGGAAATTTATCGTTTTACAAAAGTGCATGTACCTTTGTAAAGCCAAAAACCGCATAATTATGATAACATTTCGTGTGAGAAATGTAACTTCTGTATTTAGTATAAATATCCATGTGAAATGCATTTGCTGGTTACAAAAGTGCAATTACAAAAAGTAATAGAACGAACGGAAAAATGTCTCGGGCTGACAAGAAAAATCTTTTACTTTTATTCGATAAACCCACTGAACCGGTGTTTATGGAAAAGGGTAAAACGCCCACGGTTTTCGATGTTCCCGATAAATTTCTAACCGATCGTTATCGTCCAATTGGTAACGAAGTGCAAAGTCGTTTTGGCGAAAGGGCAGAACAACGGGTGCCCGTACGTGATATTACATTGCCGGATTTACGTATACCCATGTCCTTGGCACGTGATGAACAATTTTCTTTGTTTATACCACGTCATCGCCGTATTGCTGGGAGATTAATTGATATTTTTGTCGGCCTACGGAGTATTGAGGATTTGCAAAGTGTTGCCGTGTATGCTCGTGATAGGGTTAATCCGTTTTTGTTTAATTATGCCTTATCGGTGGCTTTGTTGCATCGTCCTGATACCAAGGGTTTGGATTTGCCTTCTTTTGCCCAATCATTCCCCGAGAAATATGTCGACTCGAAGGTGTTTCGCCAGGCTCGTGAAGAGGCCAGTGTTGTGCCCGAAGGATCACGTATGCCCATTATTGTTCCCCGCGATTATACAGCCTCGGATTTGGATCCTGAACATCGTCTATGGTATTTCCGTGAAGATATGGGTATTAATTTACACCACTGGCATTGGCATTTGGTGTATCCCTTCGAGGCTGGTGATCGTAGCATTGTTGACAAAGATCGTCGCGGTGAGCTATTCTATTATATGCACGAACAAATTATGGCCCGTTATAATATGGAACGGTTTAGTAACAACTTGCCTCGGGTGGCAAGATTTAATAATTTCCGTGAACCAATTTCGGAAGGTTATTTTCCGAAAATGGATTCGTTGGTGGCAAGTCGTTCATGGCCACCACGTTTTAATAACATAAAACTCAGTGATTTAAATCGTGAAAGTGATCAAATAAATGTTGATATCAACGATTTGGAAAGGTGGCGGAATCAAATTATGGAGGCAATTCATAAGGGCTTTGCTGTGGATGTGAGTATTGCGACAGTTTTTGAAGATGTTTTATTTAGCCCTCGAAATTTTAAAGAATTAATGAAGGACCACCATAAAATATTTAGATATGTTGAGACAATTTATTTGGAATTATCCTCGCTCAGATGAAAAAAAAACCTTCTGACCAAAAATATTCGATATAGATCCTTTTTTGAAATATACTCCACAAGCTATAATTTTTTACGAAGTTTACACATCCTATAAGCGAAGGGGCGGCATGTCAAAGATTAAAAATGCCCTTAATTTTTTAATTACCTTATTTTTAAATGCCTTAATTTTTTTAAACAAATGGGGCTGTAATTTAGTGTTCTGAGGTCTTTCAATTATTCATCATAATTTGGATTACATAGGGTAAAATATGTCTTCGCAAAAAATACCAATATCAATATATCACATTCTAAGAAGTTCTAGTCGCATTTTCAAACCTGCAAACAAAAAGTTTAGCATAGGTTCATATTATGATTTAGTATATACACAAAGTCACCGAACCCCGAAATGCTTATCCTGTATTTTCCAACAAAGTTTCAAAATTGTCGAACCTAAGAAAATATCCTTAAAGAAAAGGTTTAGCATAGGTCCATATTATGAATAAAGTCCCTAAATGTTCGGCACGGAGAATTCAGCCGAATTTTCAACCTAAATTTTTGGACTTTTTTATTTCGTATTCTCAGGGGATACAAAAACCTCTTGTCAGATTATTTACACTATATAAATGTCCCGATTGATATCACGTATTTTTGCTTCAAATACCAAAACGGATGTGAATTTATTCTAAGTACGAAGAACCATTTTAAGACCTTATAATTTGGAAAATTTATTAAAATCCCTAATTACCCTCATCTTCCAGGAAAGTGGCAATCAACAACGCCTTACCGAACAGGATGGCATTAACATCCTTGGAAACATGATTGAATCATCGACCATATCACCAAATCGTAATCTCTATGGTGATCTACATAATATGGGACATGTTCTAATCTCATATGCTCACGATCCGGATCATCGTCATCTCGAATCATTCGGCGTAATGGGTGACTCTGCTACAGCAATGCGTGATCCTGCATTTTATAGATGGCATTCAAATATCGATGATATATTTCAAGAACACAAGCGCAAGCTACCACCCTATACTCTACCACAATTGCAATATGATGGTATAACTATAGAAGGTTTACAAGTGGCCAGCGATGGTGGTCAACCCAATGTTCTGTCGACATTTTGGCAACAAACCGATTTAGATTTGTCACGTGGTATGGATTTTGTACCAAGAGGAAATGTATTCGCAAGATTTACTCATTTGCAGCATACACCATTTACTTATACGCTAAATGTTAAGAATGCCGGTGGAGCTCAACGTTTTGGTACGGTGCGTATCTTTTTGGGACCCAAAAATGATGAACGTGGCCAGCAGATGTTGTTTGGTGAACAGCGTCTAATGATGGTGGAATTGGATAAATTTGTGGCAGCATGTAAGTTTATATTGTGTAAATATGTCAGCATTGTATTAATGGAGGTCAGTTATAATATGTTGGTCCCACCACCATAATATATATTTTAAATATAGCTTGAGTATATAGGTTTTGAAATTGGGTTTCACTAGCAAACCAAGCGCTATATCATTTGTTGTATTGTGATATAGTTCCACGAACATGGTCTCGTATGGCAACCTACCTCAACCTAACCACTTCCTGAATTAATGCAATAGTGAAATTCACACGCTCTTGTTCGTAGTTTTGTTAATACAAAATTTGCAAACATGAACGGAAACCGCATTTGTGGTTAATGGCCCATATCACCTCATGCACAAAAAAAGACTTTATTATCGTTGGAAATTAATTGTGGTTACATTTTTGTCCTTCATATGATCCAAAATTCAAATCAAAATCTATCTGTCCTCCCAAAATGTTTATACCTTCTGTATCGAAGCATGGGACATCGATAAAGTAGATGTTCGATAGAAATTACTACACAGAGAGATTTCAAGGTCCTATATTTTCTCCTCGTAAAACTTGGGGATTTGCTAACAAAGTAGATAAGTGGAGGTCTAACAGTGTCATCAATTGTTAAATCAATTGCGCAAGCTAATTTAATTCCTCTAATATCACTATGACTTGATACCAATATCGACAGTTCCTCAAAACGGAGGAGTTCACCCGCCCAGTACTCTCTGCTTTATATTATTGTTTTAAATTCCTCCAAATTAAGGTGTGGGGAAATAAAGTCACTTGAAGTTTTCTTCTGACAGAATTCATAATTTCTTATTATGTTCAGGACATCTACGTGCCCGTAGTGTGAAGTTCGCTTCTGGTTGCCTGAAAACGAGTTAATAAAGTGACTGTAGATTTATTATCGCATTCAGAGCAGCCTGAGGAGTGATTCTAGGAGCTCTGGATATAAGGATTGCTGCCGATCTTTGCACACTACTTATTTTGGACATCCACAAGTAAGAATGGGAAGGACCACTGCATCGTAAATCCAATGTAGGATAAGCGATGGCAGTCCCCAGCTCTTCCCTATTGAGTTCTTGCAAGAGCACAGCGATATTAGAACTTTTTTACGCTCCTTTAAGTTCTTTTTCCGTGATTAACGGTGCTCCAGGATTTGGCCTACAAAGAGAGTTCCCGAGCTAATCTATTTTAGGTAGAGAGAACTTGAAATTTTGCGCCTTTTGAGGAATAGTACCACTTCTGTCTTCGCGGGATTGACTCTAAGACCATTACGTCGCACCCACCCAAGTGCTCCAAGCGAAAAATATATTGTTGGTAGGAATTTTTCTCTAATCATAAGTCACTACTTTCGATCGCAATTGGTCAGATTTTGCAAGAATCTCGTTTGTCACTAGGAGCCAAAGCAGGGACCTCCAATGTTTGCATTGATTATCCTTATAAGCAAAACAGCAATCTGGTCCATCAGAGAACAAAGTGGATTGACCAGTTTTACGTTTTTGAAAGCCCCCTTGATATCGAATAAAGCCGCCAATGTGAAGTTGGAGTTCTCCAAATTGCTCTCAATATTTCAAACTACTTCTTGTAAAGCAGTGTATATAGACTAGCCTTTTATATAGACGTGCTGTGATTTGCTGATTTTATTTAAGTCCAGTGATTTCCTGATCTCAAGATCTAAAAACTTTTCTATTGTTTTCAAGAGCAAGGAAGAATGAAGGTCACCTTCACTTCTCTCCACAGACTTGGTATGAATGATAACATAAGACAAGCCTAGAAAATCACCTTTAGTGTTATTAATACCTGCTCTGAGGCATTTTGCAACATTGCAGGTGCAGGAGATTTGTAGGGTTGAAAAGTGTTAATCGCCCATACCAGTTTTGGATAGCTTTTTAGGTCTTCCATCACAGCTTCATTTGCCACATCTGAAGTTAAATATGATGTAGAAATTGCTCATCCGTACCAAAGTCACTGCTCCCTGGAAAATGAGTATCCGATTCTGTTTAGTTCCTTCACATTTCAACCACTGCAACTCAGCCAATCCTCAATATAAATCCGTTAGAAATGAAAGAAGCTATTGAAAATCTATGAAACCACGTTTTTGAAGTGACCCAGAAAAACCAAAGGCATTTTCGTGGTCCAGGGACTCCAACTAAACAGAATTGGTACATTAGAATCCCTGAATAATTTTTTTGTTGTTTTGTAGCACAGTGTAATTAGTCCACGTGCCATCATTTCTTTAAATGCTACCGATAGATTTTAGGGCCTTCGATATTATTTTCCGAGATATTACCGCATCATAGGTAAGTGGTTGGTTGGAAGAGTTTTGGTAACAACATCCACAGCACCATGACCACCACTGGTCGTCAGTAAGTCGTAATGCTCACAGATTCTCTGTTATGTTAAGGAAGTTTAGCTGAATCCACAGTGGAAATGGTGAACATTAGCATCACATCCTAAGATGATATTGCAGTATATCGCCCAGTGGATCCGGCTCCTTGTATTGTAAGTAGACAGAGGCAATAAGGAACGGGGTTTGCTGCCCTCGGTCCAACCTTACTGTGGTAACATCACAGTTACTGTAAACTGAATGTAGAATTAGATTCAAATTTTTCTTGGCAATAATGCACGATTTTACCTTATCCTCGCCCCTCGGCTTTATTACTAAGATCAAAGTGTGTTATTTACATCGCATTAAATTTAGTTCGTTAATGGTCGCCGACTCGTCAGTGCCTACATATAGAATAATAAACTTTTTATTTTATTCAGTCAATCCAGGACAAAATACCATACGGCGTCGTTCCGATGAATCCAATGTCACCATACCCTTCGAACGGACATTTCGTAATTTAGATGCAAATCGTCCAAATGCAAATACTTCCGAAGAACTGGAATTCAATTTCTGTGGTTGTGGTTGGCCAGCGCATATGTTAATCCCAAAAGGATTACCAGGTGAAGGATTGCGTTGTCAGCTATTTGCTATGGTTTCCAACTATGAAGATGATCGGGTACGACAGAAATATTGTAATTAATATTATTTCCATTGTGTTTAATTTACACTTCTCTTTTAGGTCGACCAAGATCTCGTGGGCAGTTGCAGTGATGCCTCATCGTATTGCGGGGTACGTGATCGTAAATATCCCGATCGTCGTGCCATGGGTTTCCCATTTGATCGCCTGCCACGTCAGGGTGCAGATCGTTTAACAAATTTCCTAACACCAAATATGAGCATTGTGGATGTATCGATTCGCCATGATGCCAATCGTGTGGTGCAACGTCAATAAAATTAGGATGGACGATATACATCGTAATGGACTATATGGCAATGAAAATGGTTTTATGCTTTGGATTATGTTTTAGAGTGTAGATTTTTTAGTTTAAGTTAGAGAGGTTGTTTACTTGGCCACCTTATTTAAATAATGCAATTATGTGCTTCATTCATTTATATTTCATATAACAGATTTTAATAAACTTAAGACTTAAGCAAAATATAAAATAATAATGTTATAATAATTCATTCTAATGGGATCAGGGAGTATCTAAAGGAACTTAAAGCACAATCTATATGAACTATAAAAAAGATACAAAAAAGGTTACGAATAATTGACCAGTGCCTTTCTTCGAAGCTAGATTTATATGATTCTTCACATAAGGCTGTACATATTCGACTCATTTTCACATTCCCTTCCAAAATTTGGAAACAAAGTTTAAATTTGTATGCCCTCCACAGCGAAGTGAACATTCAAAATACATAAATCGTATGGAAAAATACGCGTGATGTTTAAAAAAGATTTCAAAAATGAGTGCTATACCAAATCGGGTACGGATATATATATATATATATATATATATGAGTTGCTGTTCGTCAGTCTCGCTAAAACTCGAGAACGGCTGAACGGATTTTTCTTATCATAGTCTTGAAATGTTCGTGGAGCTCCAGGGAAGGTTTAAAAAATCGAAAACCGCGAAAAATTTGCAAAAAAAAAATTATGAAGCATATTTGCATTTCCACGAATTTAGTATCGAGCTATTTTAATTGCACCATGTCGTAGCGTTATTTTGATATTTTTTGGTCAAAAATTGTTAGCGTACATTTCTTTGAGCCTTCATTTGTCAATTATTGAAAATTTTCAAAATATTTTATTGTTTCTTTCAATTAGATTGGCATTGTATTGAAAATATTTTATGTGAGAATAAAAATATAATTGAAAAGTATATTATTGAATGCACACGCGATCATTGTATGTACATATTTCACATAGAATGCACATAAATTTTGGGACAAATGCAAGGATGCAAAATTAGAAGACATTCTGAATCTAATAACAAGTAAAATGTCGTTAAGTTCGACCGGATCAGGAGTCGTTCGATGATTGTGGAGGCTACCCTAAAAAAACAGATCGATATCTATAACTTTTGGTAAGGAGATTTTTTACCCAATGGAAACTCAATGTATCATATTGCAGCTAATTGGTTAAAAACGTTCATAAACACAAAACATTATTGGTGGTACCGTTATAGAGGTATATCTTAAAAATTGAACCAATATTCATAGTTTTTGGAAGATTTGTCATCGTATGAAAATTAAAAATACTAAATTATAATCGAATTAGCCAAACACCCCAAAATACGGAATAATGCGGAGTACCGTTATATGGGAGCTATCATAAAAAGTATCGACTCACGTTGGCCAAAAATACCAAATTTCAGACAAAATGCCGAATATTTGGGGGTACCGTTATATGTGGGGCTACCTCGAAACTTGAGTCAATATTAATAATTTTTAGGAAGTAGGTTCGCTATACATTAAAAACCCAAAATACTAAATTACAGAAAATTCAGTTGAAAACCGTGTCCAACATCCTCCTATATATTTCATTTTCATTGCCAAACATCCAATCAAATCTCTATCTTAAATATTTGCGATCACTATCGTGATTTCGACGTAGATTTTTATTTTGATCAATTATATATACATATACTTTCTGGGGTCTTCAGTGTTGCACATGGCATGACAAACTTAATATACACTTTACCTTATGCCGAAAGGAATAAAAAGCTTACGTAGCACTGGGCTACCGTTATGTGGAAGTCGTATAGACATATTGGGAAAGAATCTAATTAAATCCGAATCCTAAATGATTATTCCGGCTCTTGATATGTAAATTATATGATGTTATTTAAATTTATTTTCCATGAATGCAATACTTACAAAAACAAAAATTATATCCAAGGAAATTTTAGAAGGGTAAACAACGTTTGCGGGTTCGACAATTGAACCGCTTATAACTCAAGAACAAAAATAAAATATTCTCGCACAATCAATTTATTTTCTATAGCTACAAGACTCGGTCACAAAAATCAAACTGCAGATAATCAGAAGTGTAATGCTGCTTTATGTGAATTTCATGGTATTACAAACGATGTGTTTTGAGCCCAACCCAACTGAAACTCGATATTTTATACTGCAAAAATTTATATTGAAATGTGTGCTATAGCTTCCGATGTAACGATCTAGAGCGGTATATGGCAAAAAATATGAAAAGTTTATATGCACCAATAATTTTCACGCATATTTCTTAGCCAAAAAAAAAAAAATTGTTTATGCAAGTATGAATAGAAATTGAAAATCAAATCTAAAATACCGAAAATTATTCCTTAACAATGTTGGTTGGCAAGACAACGTTTGCCGGGCGCGCTAGTATATATATATAATTTTTGTTAGGAATATTTACAGTCAATTTAATTAAATCACAGGCCCAAACGTCTCGAAATTTGGCAGCTCCCGTTATATGGGATTTACTCAATGCTTTATATTAAGGAGACCCCCCATTCTCGGTGTCAATTTTTTTATATTTAATTCGAATCCACACTAATTCAAGAATGTCCCTACAAAGTTTCAAGTGAAAATCGCAAGAACTCTTGAAGATATAGCCGATTTATTGTGTCAGCATCAAGTGACGGCTAAAGGGCTTCTCAAACTTTAAACGCGTTTTTCTCGTTTGTGAATGGCGGGCACGATAACTAAAAAACTAATAACCCAATCGATTCCAAATTTTTACACGTTTCTCTATGAGTGTATTGTTATCGTATGAACTAGGATAAAGTCAAACGGTGAAGATCTTCCTTATTTTTTAACTTGGTTTTTTGTTAAAGATCGGCGATTTTCCAAAAATATTTTTCAAAGGTCCGCCATTCTGTCAATTTTAGAGCGAAGTCAATAATCCTAGATCATACGAAAGCCAGACATGTACTCTTTCTAACCGTTGGAATTTTCGGATTCCGATGTTCCAGTGAGGAGTTATCATGCCCGCCATCAAAAATAAGGACTTCTCTTTAATTACAAAAAACAACAACAAAAATTTTTTGTAAATTATTTTTCTCCCTTTTTAAATCTTCAAATATATATGTGCAAAGTTACAAACCTTAACAAGCATTGACATTGATTTACCAGCCCATTGAAAATCTTGAAAACATAAAATCCAGAAGGGGGGGTTTCCTTAAGCCAAATATAAAATAATAATGTTATATAATATTATATGAATCTGCAGTACTTTCAGGACGCTGTGCTCCATTTACATAAAATCAGACGAAAATATATTTCGCATAAATTAATCTGGGCCTAATTCAGTACGCTGTGCAAAACGTTGTACCAATCGGCCTAAATTTTACTCTTTCGTGCTCCATTTACATACAATCGGAGGAAGAAACATATATCTAAATCTCAACTGATTCCAACAAAACTTCACATACATCAATCTGGACCTAATTCAGTAAGCTGTGCAAAATTTTGTCTTAATCAGGCAAATATTGGCAATATGATTCTCCATTTACTTAAAATCGGACGAAAATATATACGGGACCTTAGATATAGGTCCCGTATATCTGAACCGATTTCAACAAAATTTCGCGGACGCCAATCTGCAGTAATTTCAGGACACTGTGCTAAATTTTGTCTCAATCGGAGGAAACTATATATGGGAGCTATATCTTAATCTCAACCGATTTTCTCTAGGGTTCAATAGGGTTCGTCCTTGGGTCAAATAAGTGACATGTGCCAAAATTTATCCCAATCGGATCATAAATGCGACATGTACTTTGTTCACAAAATACATCGACGGACGGACAGACGGACTGCATAAATCGGCTCAGAAAGTGATTCTATGCATATTCTCAAAAGGAACCATGGGTCTATCTCGATTCCTTTTACTTGCTACGAACATATGCATAAAAACATAATACCCAAATCGAGGTAATGGTAGTCTAATTGAGTATCAAGAGGGGACAAAAAGAAACAATGAGATTTCTGATGGAAACTCAATGGTACGAGATAGCATCAAGGTTTTTACGGTATACAGCGGCATAGCCTGACTTCTTGTTGCGGCAATTAATCGTTTCTTTTGCCAAATGCCTATACCTTAAAAGCCCGACAAGGAGTACTGCCCTGGCTACCCGCCAGACTACCGGTCATTAAATTACACAATAATTGTAGAATTCGTCCAGAACAGGAAATTCATGTTAAACTTCTTGACGGAGAGTCCTTTTTGTGGTCTTTGTTTTGATTACAAATTATGATGGAAATATGGACGGTCATACATAATTAGATCGAATAAAAATTATCGTATTATAATTGCGAACTGTAAAACTACTAGAAAATCACACAACCCTGATCAATGGAAGTCTTATGTTGTTAGACCTACATAAGGTCATTTTAGAAACAAGATACAATAAATTTCGAAAATTCTAGACAACATAACTTTCGAAATATAAATTTTTAGGGAATGTGCAAAAACTGTCTTTATTTCTTATCACTAAAAATGTGTCTAGTTCCAAAAAATTTGTTTATCTAATTTCTAAAATAACACCTCAGTCCATATATGACCGCAAAAACTGTGCAAAATGTTTGGCAAAAACCACAAATTTTAGGTTTCCGCAAAATTTAGAAATTAGGAAATTCGCCATAAAAATAGATAATCTATTGTTTATATTTTTGCAAAGGCAATTTTTTGGTATATAAACCCCTGGCACAACTCCAACAGTCAGCAGTGCATTCAACGAGAAATAGTCAAACACTTCGCTATTTCTTCATTCTTTGGAGTTAAAAAAAACTTTTATTTTCGGTTTCAAATTTGTAAAAAAAACCAAATCAATCATGACTGACAAAAAGAATCTTTTGTTGCTGTTCGATCGCCCCACCGAACCGGTGTTCATGCAAAAGGGTAAAACCTCCACGGTCTTCGATGTTCCCGATAAGTATTTGACCAAACGCTATGAACGTTTGGGCAATGAAATTCAAAGTCGTTTTGGTGAGAAGGCCGAGCAACGTGTACCGGTACGTGAAATATCCCTACCCGATTTACGTATTCCCATGTCGTTGGGTCGTGATGAACAATTCTCATTGTTTGTGCCACGCCATCGCCGTATTGCTGGACGTTTGATTGATATTTTCGTTGGCATGCGCACCGTTGATGATTTGCTTAGTGTTGCTGTATATGCTCGTGATCGTGTCAATCCTTATTTGTTCAATTATGCCCTTTCGGTGGCACTGTTGCATCGTGAAGACACCAAGGGTTTGGATTTGCCATCATTTGCCCAAAACTTCCCCGATAAATTCGTTGATTCTCAGGTCTTCCGTCAGGTGAGAGAAGAAGCCACTGTTGTTCCCGATGGTTCGCGTATGCCAATTGTTGTGCCTCGTGATTACACCGCGTCCGATTTGGATCCCGAACATCGCTTGTGGTATTTCCGTGAAGATATGGGTATCAATCTACATCACTGGCATTGGCATTTGGTGTATCCCTTCGAAGCTGGAGATCGCCGTATTGTTGACAAGGATCGTCGTGGTGAACTTTTCTACTATATGCATCAACAGGTTATTGCCCGCTACAATATGGAACGTTTCAGTAACAATTTGCCTCGTGTAACCCGATTCAATAACTTCCGTGAACCCATTGCAGAGGGTTATTTCCCAAAAATGGATTCCTTGGTTGCCAGTCGTGCTTGGCCACCACGTTTCGATAATACCCCTCTGCGGGATTTGAATCGTGAATTGGATCAAATTAATTTGGATATATCCGATTTGGAAAGATGGCGTGATCGCATCTTTGAGGCCATCCATCAAGGTTTTGTCGTGGATGCCAGTGGTAATCGCATTCCCTTGGATGAACGTCGTGGTATTGACATTTTGGGTAATATGCTTGAGGCCTCCATCATCTCACCCAATCAATCGGTGTATGGTGATTTCCACAACATGGGCCATGTCTTCATTTCCTATGCCCACGATCCTGACCATCGTCATTTGGAATCATTTGGTGTTATGGGAGACTCGGCTACGGCAATGCGTGATCCTGTCTTCTATAGATGGCATGCCTACATTGATGATATTTTCCAAGAACACAAGACCCGTTTGCCAGCCTACACTTTGCCTCAATTGCAATATGATGGTATCTCCATATCTGGACTTCAGGTCAGTTCCGATGGTGGCCAGCCCAACGTGTTGAGTACATTCTGGCAACAATCTGATGTTGATTTATCACGTGGCATGGACTTTGTGCCACGTGGTAATGTCTTTGCTCGATTCACACATTTGCAACATACGCCCTTCACCTATACAATTAATGTGAATAATGATAGTGGTGCTCAACGTTTTGGTACGGTGCGTATCTTCTTGGCCCCAAAGACTGATGAACGTGGTCAGCCATGGTTGTTCCGTGATCAACGTTTGATGATGGTGGAATTGGACAAGTTTGTTGTGCAATGTAAGTAGTAATGCAATATTTTGAAATATTTATTGGATATACACCATAAAACCCCCATTCTGGATGGGAAATAGAATTCTATGACCTGGCGTATATTCCTAATAGTCGTCTGTCTGCTTAAATAACCGCTGTTAATTGAAATTTTAGATGAATGCTCAGTTGCCATTTTTGCATAGAAAAGAATTCTCAGAACCTCAATTCCTAAAAAAAATATCAGATACTCAGTTTCTATACCAGTTCTTAGAAAAAAAATCTTAGAACCCCAGTTTCTATTTTTTCCCATAGAAAAATATTCAAAGAACACCAATTTCTATTTTTTTCATAGGAAAAAAATCACGCAACCTCTATTCTTCTTTTCCAAGGAAAAATCTCAGCACCTCATTTCTTATTTTTTTAGTAAAAAAATCTCAGAATCTCACTTCCAATTATTTTCATAAAAAAATTTAATACCTCAGATCTTACCTTGTCTTCCTTATAAAAATTCTCTGAACCTTATTTCCTAGAAAAAAATCTTAGAAACCAAGTTCCTATTTCAGTCCTCAGAACCTCAGTTCCTATTTTTTTCATAGAAAAAAATGAAAAAAACAATTCTTATTTTTTGTAATAGGAAAAAAATCGCAGAACCTCAGTTTTCTTATAAAGAAAAAAAATCTAAGGACTGAGTTCCTATTTTGTGTAGAAAATCTCAGAACATCTGTTACTATTTAAGTACCTGGAAAAAATCTCAAAACCTTAGTTCATTATAATTCCTCAGTTCCAAAAAAAATCTAAGAACCTCAATTCCAATTTTTTCTAACGAAAAAATTCTCAGAAAGCAAGTTCCTATTTTTTTTTTATCAGAAAAAAAATTTATGAAAAAAAATTTTGAACCTCAGTTCCTATTTTTTCTGTAGAAAAATTTTCTCTGAACCTCAGTTCCTATTTTCCCCCATAAAAACAATTCGCAGAACCTGAGTTTTTTCTAAAGAAAACATTCTCAGAACACCAGCTTCAATTTTTTCCTCAAAAAAAAAAAAAATCTCAGAACTTCAGTTCCTAGAAAAACAATTTTCAGACCATCAGTACCTATTTTTTCCACAGAAAAAATGCTAAGAACCGCAGTTCTTATTTCTTTCACAGAAAAAATCACAGAACCTCAGTTCCTATTTTTCATATTTTTTCCATAGAAAAAATTCTCAAAAAACAAATTCCCATTTTTTCTATTAGAAAAAAATCGCAGAACCTCAGTTCTTTTTTAAGACAACATTTCTCAGAAACCTAGTTCCTATTTTTTCCTCAGAAAAAATTCTCAGAACCATTTCAGTTCCTAGAAAAAAAATTCTCAGAACATTAGTCGATATTTTTTTCCATAGAAAAAATTTTAAGAAGCTCAGTTCTTATTTTCAGGTCGTATTCCAGTTCCTAGATAAACATTTTCAGAACCTCAGTTCCTATTTTCTTCCATAGAAAAAATGTTTCTCTCAAATATTGGAGATCCAAATTCATTTTAGGTATTTTGATGATATTTTTATTAATTATTATTTTTTTAATTCCTTAGTGAATCCCGGACAAAACACAATTCGTCGCCGTTCCACAGAGTCTAGCGTTACAATTCCCTTCGAACGTACATTCCGTAACTTGGAAGCCAATCGCCCAGCTCAAGGTAGTCCCGAAGAATTGGAATTCAATTTCTGCGGATGTGGCTGGCCTCAGCATATGTTGATACCCAAGGGTCTGCCCGGTGGTTTGCGTTGCGAATTATTCGCCATGGTCTCCAATTATGAAGATGATCGGGTAGGTTTTAAAATAACTATTTTAGTAACTGTTTAAATAACATTTTCCTCTTCTTCCAGGTTGATCAAACCTTGGTTGGTGCCTGCAGTGATGCCGCCTCCTATTGTGGTGTTCGCGATCGCCTCTATCCCGATCGTCGTGCCATGGGCTATCCATTCGATCGTCTGCCACGTCAAGGTGTTGATCGTTTGGTACAATTCTTAACACCGAATATGAGCATTGTTGATGTAACGATTCGTCATGATGCCGATCGCATTGTAATGAGACAATAATTTACTCTACATGATGACGGTGATGCTGCGAACTTGAAAAAATAACTGATTGTGATTTATGACAATGTGTGTGTGTGTCTGATTGAGTTTTAAATACTTAATCAATTATTTAGCCTTATACTATGTACCTTATGAAATATTACAATTGCAAATAAAATATGCTTCATTCGGTAACTGCTCAGAAATATGATAAGGCATTTCATTTTACGATCATTACGGGGTTTAACATTTAAAATGGTTTTTGCCAATGTTAGTTTGTTGTCAGCGTTCCTATTAGTTTGGCATTAAAATTTTAATTTGTTTTATAAAATGAATTGTGGAATAATTTTGTGCATTATATTCACCATAAAGGCAAGTTTTAAATTCGGTTTTAAAATATAATAAATGCCAGGAAAAATATTTCAGAATCTCAGCTGTCAAAATAATTTTCAAATTGTTTTTATTACAGCTATCTCTGGCGGCAACCAACTACGACCTAAAAGCAAAAGTATTTGTAACCCAAGCTAGTAATCATTATTATCAACTCTACGATAAATTATCTGCCGAAACATATGCCAGCACGGAAGATGAAAGTTTTGCCACCATCTTTAGTCGTGTAACGACAGTAAAAACAATTGCTCAAGAATTGGTGGAAATTTCCAAAGAAGCAAAACAATTCAATATCAATAAAATTCAAGATCCAGTTTTGAGGAGGGCACTGGAAAAACTACATTATGTTGGTGGTTTATTTATACTGGGTGACAACTATTTTGAATCGATTTTAATAACTTTGAATGCACTTAAGAGTCTCTCAACGGATAAGGACATAAAACCCTATGACGCTGCTGGTTCTCTGGCAAAGGGAGATTCCAGTCCCATTGCATATGATCCAGACATTGAAAGGATTTTTGAAACGAGTAACGATAGTAAAGAATTGAAATATTATTGGGAGACATGGAGAAAACGTAATGCTATATGGGCGACAATGAATTGTTATATTATTATTCATGCCATACGCAGTGCAGCGGAGCTATTGGGTAAGTGAGAATAAATCCCAACGTTGAATATACCCTACACCACAGTGTGTTGGAGGTCTGTCAAAAATCTTAAATCCGCAGATTTATTCTTTCTCTAGAAAAACAATTCACAGACCCTCAGATACTATTTTTTCTATAGAAAAATATCCACAGACCTTCAGGTACTATATTTTTCTATAGAAAATTAATTCTGAAGAAAAAAATCACAGACCCTTTGGACCTATCTTCTTTAATAGAAACGAATCACAGAAAATCACAAACCATCAAGTCATATTTTTTCTAAAGAAAAAATTCATAGACCCTCGGTTTTATTTTTTCTATAGAAAAAAATCACAGACCCTCGGTCCTATTTTTTCTATAGAAAAAAAATCACAGACCCTCGGTCCTATTTTTTCTATAGAAAAAAAATCACAGACCCTCAGTTCCTATTTTTTTCTATACAAAAATATCACAGACCCTCAGTTCTTATTTTTTTTCTATAGAAAAAATTTACAGACCCTCCGGTACTAATTTTTTTATAGAATATAAATCACAGATCCTCAGGTCCTATTTTTACCAATAGAATATAATTCACAGATCCTCAGGTCCTATTATTTCCAATAGAAAAAAATTCACAGACTCTCAGGTGCTATTTTTTCTATAGAAAAATACATTCACGGTCCTAATTTTTCTATAGAAAAAATTCACAAACCATCAGGTCCAATTTTGTTTCTATAGAAAACATTTCATTGACTATCAGGTCTTATTTTTGTATAGAAAACCATATTTTGCTATAGAAAACCAATTCCAAGACCTTCAGCTTCTCTCTTTGTACCCTTCATCACACTGTGGTATAGGGTATTATGTCTTTGTGCATATGTTTGTAACAGGCAAAAATAATCGAGATAGACACATGGTTCCTTTTGAGAATATGCATGGAATCACTTTCTGAGTCGATTTATGCATGTCCGTCCGTCCGTCTGTCTGTCTGTCCATGTTAAATTGTAAACAAAGTACAGGTCGCATTTATGATCCGAATTGGATGAAATTTGCCATAGGTCACTTATTCGACCCAAGGACGAACTCTATTGAAATTGGGAAAAATCGGTTCAGATTTAGATATAGCTCCCATATATATATTTAACCGATTTAATGTAAACGGTCCCTATATATCTTTCGATTTGCACGAAATTTGGTACAGCCTAATCATTTAGGCCTAGAATGATGTCTGCCAAGTTACGTGAAAATCGGTCCAGATTTAGATGTAGCTCCCATATATAGTTTCGTCCGATTTCATGTAAATGGGGCACCAAAGTCCCTATATATCCTTCGATTTGCACGAAATTTGGCGTAACGTACTTAATTGAGCCTAGAATGATGTCTGCCAAGTTTCATGAAAATCGGTTCTGATTTAGATATAGCTCTCATATATAGTTTAGTCCGATTTTATGTAAATGGTGCACCAAAATCCCTATGTATCTTTCGATTTGCACGAAATTTGGCATAACGTACTGAGTTGAGTATAGAGTGATGTCTGCCAGGTTTCGAAAAAATCGGTCCAGATTTCTATATAGCTCCCACATATAGTTTCGTCCGATTTCATGTAAATGGTGCACCAAAGTCGCTATATATCTTTCGATTTGCACGAAATTTGGCATAACGTACTGAATTGAGCCTAGAGTGGTGTCTGCCTTGTTTCGTGAAAATCGGTCCAGATTTAGATATAGATCCTTTTTATTATAGATTGATTTTAAGTAATTGACGCACCAAGGAACCAATAGGAACAAAACGTTCTGAAATTAGTATAACCTAACCTGTGACAAGTTTGTTTGAAATCGTTTAATATTTCGATAGAGCTTCCATATATATTTTCGCCCGATTTCAAGTAAATTGGACATCAAACTCCTCATGTTAGTCAGATTGACATCAAATTTTGCACAACGTACAGAATTGAGCATAGAATTACGTAGTTGCGTTTTCTAGAAGTACAGACATAGCCCAATGGATGACCTATTTATATTTGTTTGAAGTCAATTTACATACTTTATGGATAGATCTAGGTAGATTCATATTTAGATAAATATCACATATTTTGTTTCATCCAATTTCATGTTAATAAACCTGTTTAATATACCCATAGTGGTGAAGGGTATCATATAGTCGGCCCCGTCCGACTTTACTACTTTCCTTACTGGTTTTTCTATAGAAATAAATTCACATAACCTCAGGTCCTATTTCTCTATAGAAAAAATGCACAAACCCACAGGCCTTTTTTTGCAAAAAAAAAATAGTATCTAAAAAAATGTTGTCCATATTTGTCCTATATTTTTATAGAATTCTCACATTTCTAGAAAAAAAACTGTATAAAAAATCACAGACTGTCAGGAAATATTTGTCCTGAAGAAAAAACAGAAGCTCAGGTTCTTCTATAGGGAAAAAATCACAGAAGTTCGGGTTCTATAGAACAAATTCACAGACCTTCAGCTAGAAATTTTTCATTACACCAAATCACAGACCTTTCGGGCCTTTCTGACCATTGTGTAAACAAATAATATGATTTAATATTCCAGATCTTCCTGTTATGGATTTCTATTACTTCAACTATATGGATGTGGACATAACCCAGGAAATGGACAAAGTAATGGAAGAACTTAAACCAACCTACCTACAACTACATGCCTTTGTCCGTCATGAATTGAAAAGAAAATATAACCATGATGTGACGGATGTAAATGGTCCAATACCAGATCATTTATTCCAACAAGTATTGGCTCAAGCATGGAAGGAGAATAGCGTTATTGAAGAATATTTTCCATATAAGGAATTACCTCCATATGATGACCTTGTTCGCGATTTCAATGGCAGAGACCTTCTCAACAAAGCAGAAGAATTTTATAAATCATTGGGTTTTTCTCCATTAGAAGGAGATTTTATAAAATCCCGATTAAATGAAATAAATTCCAGCGATAGCAATGATGCCGAATGTCATGCCCATATATTCGATTCAACTCCCCAAGTTCGAATGCAGTATTGTAAAAAAGTCGATTTTCGGGAATTTATGCAAATGCATAGCCATGCGGCTCGTCTACATTATGCCATGGAAAAGAAATCCTTACCATCGTATTTTTTCGATTCGTATAACCTGGAATATGCTGTGGGTGAGGCTATTATTCTCTCAGCTAGTTCACCCAGGCATTTACAATCACTGGGTGTATTGAATGATTTTAAATTTTCGGAAAGGGCTCAAATGAATCGGTTATTCCGCATGGCTATTCACACAATTCTCAACATTCCTCTATATTATGTGCACACTCGAATTATAAATGAATTACTAAAGGGCAGTGTTGAAATGGATGGTGTTAATCGCCTATATTGGAAATTAATGCAAGAGTATGTCGGAGTGGATCCACCCATGGATCGAGAAGAGAATGCCATCGATTTTCCCTATAAATTTTATTTTGAAATTGAGACGAACTATCAAAGCAAGTAAGGGGGTGCTACAATATTCGAAAAAAAATGATTAGAAATTGATGTAAACATTTTTTTGGCAGAAAATTTGTTTCCGAAATTTTAGGTTATCAATTCTATGAGGCCCTGTGCCAGAAAGCAAGACAAACTGGAATCCTAAGCAATTGTGATTTTTATGGCAATAAAGCTATTGGCGAAATACTCAGGTGAGTTTAAGTAACTCAATGCTACGGAATCTAATATTTTTGTACCTGCAACCTAATATGTATACCCTACCGCTCATCTGATTAGATTTTCTGCATTTATATGTACGAAAATCTTTGTTTGTGGCTACAATATATTTTCTTGGGAAATCATTTTGCCATTTATGTAGTAATTGTATAGATATTCATTAGGTAAACGTTTAACCTATTCAAATGAGCGAGAAATTAGGCATTCTGCCGAATGGTATCTCACATGTTTCAATTATTTACTTAAAAGATCCATGATGTCAATGGGTTCCTCCAAGCCTTGGCGCGATGTTATTTCAACAGTTTTGAACCAACGATCATCTTTAACCGCCGGTTCCCTATTGGAATATTACAAACCTGTAATAGCTTGGCTTAAAAATTTCAATAACAACAATCACATTCCAATTGGTTGGAATGAGACCAAAAGAAGTAAGTTATCTTTGTAAAATATGGTATTGAGTAATTAATAATTAGCATTTTATTTACAGAAATTCTTTAAAGTGCAAAATATAGCTAACACCTGAAACTTATTTGCGAATATTGTGCATTGAATAAAAATGTATTAAATATATAACATAGCAAAAACTATACAGACCAAAAAATATATGAATATTTTCATAATTTCTTTTTTTTTTTTTTTTTTTTTTTTTGTTCATATTATACATGTACCTCGCTTGGAATACGAGTAAAAAATTCTTCTGAGCAAGAAGAGCCAACATATCAAAATTATGTTAAAACTTCTCTCTTCTTTGCCACTTTTTGCGTTTCCCCTCTCTCTCTCTTTTGACAACTACAAATGCATTCTTCCATCGGTTGTGTTCTATTTTGGTATCGTCCTCAGTTTCTCCTCCTTAGCTTTGCAAACGTTTGTTGGTCTATGGTTTCTCTTGTATACAACAGCGGTCACTCCACTCACCCAATTGTGGCTAATTCTGCTTTGAAGATACAAAATTCGCATATTTATTTTCCAAATTATTTCGATATAAATGCAAAATACAATATAACAAATAATTGTTGAAATCTGAACACTGTCACATGTTCCGAACTATATTCATATTATATACGAGTTATTTTACAATGGATAACAAATAAACTATACCAATTTGGGCGGAATATTACATCAGGGGTTATGTTAGAATATGGATTTTTGAAAAGAAACTAGATCTGAATAAAACGAGCAAATAACCGAATACGTTGGGACATGGACTAAAGTCTAATTTCTAAATATAGCTATGTTGGTTGATAAATACGACCGGGACCATTAAAATAACGAAAAATGGGTGTAGTACTTGCATTGAGATATGCGTTACGAGAGCTAAATATGCACTATGTCAAGACAGGGTCCTATATTGAATGCTTCGGTAGAACAATGTAACGATAATCTTCAATACAATAGTTTGGATTTAGCTACCTTTCACATAGCTGTTTTTCGGATTTAGCTGCCCAAAATACACTTTGTATAACTTTTTCTCAGATTCTCTCTCAAATTTTTCGTTTTAGCGCACATTACATACCTGCACATTTAAGATAAAAGCTCAGAATATGTGCACATCATTTCCTCTTACTGCTTACATTTTTGTATTTAGCTGCACGTGGAATATCAAATAAGGAAACAATAGTTATTTTTTATTCGTAGTTAGAAATCACACAACGACTATTGTTTTTGTGCAAACAATAGTCAATTTTTATGCAGTGATTTCACTTACTTGCAGGTTAAGGCAGATAAGAGATTTAATATATCTGCACTTCTGATTTAAATGTTTGTGTAACATTTGGATTTAAAAAAAATCTCGTTTTGTGGACTCAAGAACTCTATATAAACCAGTGAGAGGAACAGTATAGACGGACGGGATCGACCATATGATACCCTACACGTCAATCACGGAACTCTAACTGTCTGCAGATGTCTATTCAGAGCCTGGGCAATATTTCGTGATATTTACACCCGCTTGCCCGATTAGAGGTCAACAGCATCTTTTCCTTACACTATCATATTTTCCGAATATTACTAATATTCAGCACAGCCCTTCTAATTACATGTCCAGATTCCCTTCACCGAGGGTTCTGCTGCAATGCTCGGCTTATAATTGTGGCATATAAATCGATTAAAAAAACAAAACAAACAAAATAAGTTTTCGGTACACTCCATCCCAATATTATAATCTGATCATCACCAAGAGACCCAGTTTTAGCCTACCAATGAAATATTGTCTTCATATCATTTATAAAAACTTTACTGATTCAGATCGTCGATAAAGACTCATTGTTTCAGTCACGAGTCAATAAATCAATCAATAATAATTCGATTTAGTTTATGTCTAACTACAGTATTCAGTAGGCTTTACTTCCCCTCAAGGCGATGTCTTCCCTTTCACACAATAAAATTGTCTCAATGGCTACTTTAACTTTATACTTTAGTCTTTTCAATGTATCTGAAGCCTGGCCGGGCCGGGTATAATTAATATAAAAAACAACTCAATTCGAACACTTTTTCACGTATAAGAAAAAAATCAGTATATTAAGCGGGTTTTAATATTTTGTCCACGATCCATGCTCTTCTTATACCAATACACTTCCTATTATTCTAACCGATTCTTAGCTTCGAAAAATAAAGAAATTATAGGGAACAAAACAAAAACTGCATTCTCCCTTAAAACATAATTCTCCGTTTTATTTTGTTGTTACTCAAAGTAAAAGTGAAATGTTAGGGTCACAAAATGCCGACATGCTTAATTTATATTTTAAATTTCATTTGAAACAAAAATCACAGTGCAGCGATAAGAATTATCACACATTCGAAAGTGTCTCATTTCAACCTTCTGTTGTCTATACACATTAGAATTAGATTAGTCTTCTGGGGGATTTCAAAGGCAAAGCATCGATTTTAGTTTTGAAAAAAAGTCATAGATTAACAGTGAAAATAATGAAGCTTTTACAAGCTCTTCTTATCGCAGTGGCTTGTGGGGTGAGTTGAATACTAAATACGATTGTGAAAAGTTCCGGTATATGTGAACACCTTGAGTAGAATATTAAACTACGCAATTTCAAAAAAGAAAAACAATAACAAATAAAAATTATTTCAAGGGTACTATGAAGGATGTTTCTTTGTTTACTTAAATGCGATGTTGTTGTCCCTTTCAGCTATGCCTGGCGGCCACCAACACGGAATTGGAAGCCAAAGCCTATGTCGCCAAGGCCAGTGAACGTTTCTACAATCTCTATGACAAAATTACCGCCGAGGTATTTACCATGGACGATGATGACGATATGAATGCTGCCCTCAGCAAATTGTCGACCATTAAAGAAATTGCCAAGGAATTGGTAGAAATTTCCGAAGAATCGGGTGAATTTGATCAAAGTCAAATTAACGACCCTCAGCTGAAGAGAGCCCTGACCAATTTGAAGGAAGTTGGTTCACTCTTTGTGTTGGGTGATGATTATTTTGAATCAATTGCTGTGGCCCTGCAAGCGTTGCAAAGTTTGGTGTCCGATAAGGATATTGAACCCTATATGGGTGGTATTAATATGCCAAATCAAGATGATAGTCCAATTGCTTATTATCCGGATATACAAAAAGTTTTCGCCACCAGTAGCAATGCTGAGGAATTGAAATACTATTGGGAAGCTTTTAGAGAGAAGAACACTGTGTGGGCTTCGGTGAATTTCTATACGATTATTGAGGCTATGCAAAAGGCGGCTAATATTTTGGGTAAGTATTTTATAAAAGTGAAATATCCTAAAGACATAGATTTGTGAAGGTTCATAATTTTTTTTGGAAGAATTTGTGGATGTCTCCTGTCTTCTAATTGGGGAATACCTATAGGAGACCCGTGGAGGGTGTTTCTCTTATTGAAGACCATGTAGGCCTTTTTATTGCAAGAGACCTATGAGCGGTATTCTATCTATAGAATACCCTGAAGATTTTCTCCTTATAAGACACCTGTGCAGGGACGTTGAATTTTTTTCACAGTAAATTTATGTTTGCAACAGCGATTTTTTGCATTTTGTACTACCGGGCCCCCCGAAATGAAATCCTGTGTACGTTGCTGCACCTGTGGATGACATACTATATGTGAAAGACCTATGGGCGGTGTTTTATCTTTAGGTAGACCTATGTAGAAGAAGACCGTATTGAGGGTTCGAGTACGGTCTTCTATTTGTAGAATAGTTGTAGAATAGTCTTTGTAGAATAGTCTTTCTCTTCATGTAATCTGTCTGTAGTCCGTAGAAGACCTGTGTAGGGTCTAAGAACTGTAAAATACAGAGGCCCTTTAATGGCATGGATTTATAAAAATTGTATGTTTAAAATACCTGTAGAGGTCTCTTGAGGCGTGGATTTATAAAATTTTATTTGTAAAAGACCTGTAAATGCCTCTAGATGCGTGGATTTATAAAATTATATTGTTAAAAGACCTGTAGATGCCTCTAGAGGCGTGGATTTATAACATTTTATTTTTAAAATACCTGTAGAGGCCTCTAAAGGGGTGGATTTATAAAATTGTATTTCAAAAGACCTGTAGAGACCTCCAAATGCATGGATTTATAATATTATATCTTTAAAAGACATGTAGATGCCTCTAAAACTGTGGATTTATAAAATTATAGGCTTAAAAAACATGTAGAGATCTGCAGATGTGACCATTTATAAAATCTGAAGAACTGCAAGGCCTGTTATTTCTGTAAAATATCTTTTCTTCTCTCATTAGAAGACCTATATAGGGTCCTTTCAAATTGGAAGAGCTTTATAGGGTATTATATCCGAACATTTTTCTCAAGGGACTTTTTGATATATAAACCCTATAGGTCATCTATTGGAAAATGTTTCTATCTGTAGTATACCTGAAACATATCTTCCTTCTACGGGATCTAAAATCTATGGAAGGTCGATGTTTTTCCATCTGTAATTGAACGTCATCTTTAAATTGATCACATTTGTTTTCTTCTTTCCAGATCGCCCCGTTTTGGATATGTATTACTCAAATTACGATACCGAGAAATTCCTTAAAGAAATGGACAAGGTTATGGATGAGCTAAAACCCACCTATCAACAGCTACATGCCTTTATTCGCCAGGAATTGTATAAAAAATACGGCGATGAAATTGTTGACCCATACGGCCCGATACCAGATCATTTGTTCGAACAAGTCCTAGCGCAAGCCTGGAAAGAGGGCAGTGTCATTGAACCCTACTTCCCCTTCAAAGAGTTACCCTCCTATGATGGATTCGTGAAGGATTTCACTAGCCGCCAGATGCTTAACACTGCCCAGGATTTCTACAAGTCGTTGGGTTTCTCCGACTTAGATGAAGATTTCCTCAACAATCGTCTTAAGGAACAAGATGAATCGGAAAGTACCAATGGCTGCAGGGCTACCATTGTTGACACAACACCCAAAGTTTTTATGGAATATTGTCAAAAGGTAGACTTTAAGAAATTCATGCAAATGCATGGTTATGTCGGACGCATTCAATATGCCGCCGAGAAGAAACATTTGCCTTCGTACTTCTTCAATGCCTATGATTTGGAATATCCTGTTGGAGAAGCTGTTATTCTATCGGCCAGTGCTCCCAAACATTTGCAAACTATTGGTTTGGCTAAGCCACATGATTTCACTGAAAAGGCCCTCACCAATCGCCTGTTCCGCATGGGTATCCATACCATACTCAATATTCCCATCTTTTATGTCCATAGTAAAATTGTCAATGAATTGCTGAACGGTACCGTTGATATGGAAGGTGTTAACAGACGTTATTGGAAACTTATGGAAGAATATGCTGGCGTTGAACCACCCTCCGATCGTGAAGAAGGTTCAATTGATTTCCCCTACAAATTCTATTTTGAGATTGAAGAAAACCACCAAACCAAGTAGGTCCAGAAATCATAAAACTTCTATTATCACATAATACTACAATATCAATTTTGTTTTTTCCCCAAGGAAATTTGTTTCGGAAATTCTAGGTTATCAATTCTACAAAGCTTTGTGCCAAAAATCAGGTCAAACAGGTCAATTGCACAATTGTGATTTCTATGGCAACAAAGAAGTGGGCAATGTTATGAAGTACGTCAGAGCCATATATATTATCTATTTTTATTTTTAAATTAATAATTTCAAATATTACTCTCCCCAGATCTATGATGAAATTAGGTTCCACTAAACCTTGGAAAGAAGTTATATCAAAAATATTGACCGATAAACCATCATTGTGTGCTGAGCCCTTAATGGAATACTATACACCAATTGTTGATTGGTTGAAGGCCATTAATAAGCAGAATAGAGTTAAGATTGGCTGGAATGAAAGCCGACTTAGTAAGTTTATTTTAAAAAGTTTTAGAACAATTTTTGGTTCTAAAATATTTTTGTTTTTTTTTTTTCATTTACAGAGGTCCTTTAAAGTGGATGGTTGGATGAGGTTTAAAATGTTGAATTTATATTAAGCAAAATATATATTTTTTACTATCGACAAAAAATAATAATACAACATTTTTAAAAATAATATGTTTTTATACGCTTCACCACACTGTGGTACGGGGTATTATGTCTTTGTGCATATGTTTGTAACAGCTCCCATATATATTTTCGTCCGATTTTCAGTAAATGGTGCACCAATGTCCCTATATATCATTCGATTTGCACGAAATTTGACACAGCGTACTGAATTATGTCAAGAACGATGTGTGCTAAGTTTCAAGAAAATCGGTCCAAATTTAGATATAGCTCCCATATATATTATCGTCCGATTTTATGTAAATGGTGCACCAATGTTCCTAAATATCATTCGATGTGCACGAAATTTGGCATAGCGTACTGAATGGAGTCTACAATGATGTGTGCAAAGTTTCGTTAAAATCGGTCCAGATTTAGATATAGCTCCCATATATATTATCGTCCGATTTTATGTAAATGGTGCACCAATGTCCCTATATATCATTTGATGTGCACGAAATTTGGCATAGCTTACTGAATTGAGTCTAGAATGATGTGTGCAAAGTTTCTTGAAAATCGGTCCAGATTCAGATATAGCTCGCGTATATATATTGGTCCAAAGTCCCCGTCCGATTTTATATAAATGGTGCATCAAAGTCCCTATATATCCTTCGATTTGCAATTGTGAGGATTCATATGTACAACATATCCAAAGTGGTGAAGGGTATCATATAGTCGGCCCAGTCCGACTTTACTAATTTCCTTACTGGTTTTTTCTCTTATATGGCTAGTCAATCTGCTTAAATTTTGAATATATTTACCAAGGAAGATCTTGACCGATTGCATTTGTCCCAGTTCATACGTACATAACTATATGTTAACATTTGGACGGATTGGATAATTAGTTTTTAAGTTATCGTGCTCGCGTTTTGAGAAAAACGCATTTAAAGAGAGAATCACTTTTGCCGTTGCTTGATGCTAACATCATAAATCGGTTATATCTTCAAGAGATGTTGAGATTTCAAATTTTAAATAATTAATAAAATTTTAAATAATTGGATATCCCCTTAACTTTGACCTTGTAGCACTTTTAATACTCTTATTCTCTCCACCAAAAGGTGATGTTCATGCTCTGAAAAAAGTAATGTTCCAAATGACAGACAATCAGGTTGGAAAACTGGAGTCGGAATTTCAACATATCCCCAAATTAAACAGGACATTTGAACATGGACAATTTTAAAAAACATTAACCTATAATGAATCATTTCGAGAAATAATTTATTTTTCAGCATAAAAATTGCTTATAACTTAAAAATACTGTGAGGGAAAATGCGACAAAACCCTGAAAATGCTGACAGGCGCTACTCTTATATGAGGGCAATGGTCCTGTTCTGTATATATATTTGTATCAGTCTTTAAACCCACTTAAGCCCAAAATACCGCCACCTCGATGGGAAATGCGGCTAGCACCTTAAAAATACTGAAAACGGAGCACATGAGAACCTGAATTCCGCTTTTCATAGAATATTTTTTTGAGTTTTTTTTTAATACATTACTTATCTATTTATGAAAAAACTTTAACTATAACTTTATTTTCAAAAAAGTTACAGATCAATTATTCAATTTGCAATTTCAGTTGATTTAGTTTTGGCCTTTCATAACTTCTTACATATCCCAATCCGACACCCCAACATCGATCGTAACACCAAATTTCAGGATTTCAGCTCTTTCGGTTAACTTAAAATTTAAATTGTGCCAAATTTAGTACCGCATAGTACACATAAGTAAAAATTTCCAAAACTACTTACACCATACAATCAATAGAAACCTTATTCCCAATTTCAGAATTCCAGCCCTATCGTTTCAACCAAATCTAAATTGTACAAAATTTAGTTCATAATAGTACGAATTTTGAATACTTCCTACATATTCCCATCGTACACCACGAATGCAATCCTAACTCCAAAATTCAGGTTTCCAGCTCTATCGGTTCATCCAAAATTCAAATTGTACGAAATGTAGTACCATTTTGTACGCATAGAGATTATATTTCAAACCTACCTACAGAACTCAATTCTACAATTTTCATTGTTTCAACTCTATCGGTTCTCCCAAATCTAAATTGTATAGAATATTGTACCATTTAGTACTTTTCGTATACATAAGTACAAATGTCCAACAATACCTACATATACCTAACCTATAGTCTGTCAAAGACATAAAAGTATAAAGATAGGACAATTGATACGTAAGCAATTTCCAATAGATGGCTTTTCCTCTGTTGTTACGATATCATAACAACAGAGCGAACAATATTAAACGTTTTAAACGCTATATTGCAAGCTTATAAAACAAAAACATATTTTTTGAGTACAGATCTCTAATTTTATTTACATTTTATACACACATTATCGCGTATTTGCGTTTTTATTGTTAACATGCCTCTGTTATGCCTGACTCCCCCTGGATATTTTTTCATAAACTATTTTGTCAAAATGCATTTTGTCGAGTCTTTATGGTTTCTATGTCTTTGAGTCTGTTAATTTCAAATTTCAGGATTCCAGCTCCATCCGATCCTCCAAATTCAAATTGTACCAAATTTTGTACCGTTTAGTATTTTCCGCAGTATGAGTACACACTTCCAAAACCACCTCCTTATATCGACTCTACTTCTCAACCTTGATTCGCATTTCAAAATTTAAGTTTTTAGCTCTATCCGTTAACATACTACGAAATTTTACTAAATTCAGTACATTTTAGGATAGTTATAGTTCAAATTTCTAAAAACCCTTTTGGTACATCTATCCTACACTCCATCTGTGAACCTCATTCCAAGTTCTCTAGCTCTACCGGTTCGTCAAATACAAATGGTACAAATGGAATTTCCAAAAAAAATCAGCCTTATCTGACACCTTTGGACTAAGAGTGAGCCTCTCCCCAACAGGTAAGATTCTAGCTCCAGCCGTTTCGTCTGAGCATTGATGACTCGATAAGTCAGTCAATAAGATTGTCAATCACTTTATTCATTAATAATTATACATTGCCTACTACCGTGATTTCAACAGACGGACAGATATTGCTAAATCGACAGAATTTAGAATTTTACACCGATCCAGAATATATATATATAGAGTCTCCGATGAATATTTCGTTGTTTTGCAACGATAATAAATGACACATTTAAATCATACCCCATGTAATACTATTTTTTGAGATTCTATTTAAAATAATTAAGTGTAGCCACCGTGTGGAGTGGGGTAGAACTAGCTGAGAGAAAATAAAGAAATCTTAGAATACAACACTGTCAGTATGGTTCATGAATTTACTAAATATACGCATGGGTGACATCAAGCGGAATATAGTAACACCTGGCTAAATTCTAGTGTCGATAACACCGTGTATGCAATAAAACCGTTTAAAATTGTAGAGTGTATTTCAAAAGCAACAGTTAATAATTTTAGGTTGCGTTGCGAAGATGATTTAAATATTCTGGAATTCATGATATCATGTACTTTTTTAAAGAAAATATTCTATAAGTTCCTCATTATATAGAACAAAGTTTCTCATTATAGAAGACAATAGAAAAATGTCGCATATTCCAGCTTTTTATACCCTACACAACTACAATACTGTCAGGGTATTATAGCTTTGTGCAGCCCCAAGAGTTTGTAACGCCGCGAATTATTGGTCCTAGACCCACCTTTAAGTATACCGATCGTTATATCTCGACTAGCTAAGTTGATCTAGACATGTGTTTCCGTCCGTCTGTCCATTATAATTTGTAAACACGATACAGGCCACAGTTATGGACCAATCTTCACGAAACTTTGCATGTAGGATGGGTTCTGGCCAATGAAGACCCCTATTGTTTTTGGTAAAGATCGGTTAATATTTAGGGGATGAAATGGACCAATTACTAAGTTTTTGTCGGTTTTTCTGGTCGCTCCAGAGGCCGCAATTATGGCCCAAACATCGCGAATGCATATCTGTTTTGATAATGATCGGTCAATATTTAGCGGGTCAAATGGACCCTGATTTTTTTGTGAAAAATGACAACATTTGTCTTCTATAGCGTATATATTTACCCCTGAAGTAGATAGACCCGAAAAGTTGATAGTATATCCAAGGGGAGTGGTTGACCTTTAAATTGATTCCAATTATATTGTCGTATGTACTCGAATGTGGGAGTTATACTTAATTATTTACAGGTACTTATGTATTCTGATATTATTTAGTAACCCATTTCCACACTAGAGGAAATACAGTGCTGATCGCTTCGAAATGTTCCATGAGGTTCCAGATATGGTCGAGGACAACGCCTATAATTTTCAGTGATTATCAGATAATAATTATGGGATAAAGAGTACCGAAAACTTAATTTTTTGTGTGTTTTTCGAGTAGATCTATAGGCCACAATTGAAAGCCGAACATCACAACATAACTGTGAAGGGAAGGGCTTACCTTATATTAGTAATATTTTTTTGACCTCTACTTGGCCAGAATATAGAACCACAGAAAGTTAGATTTTCGTGGAAGTTGTGTAGGGTATCATATGGTCGGCCCCGTCCGACTATACTGCTCCGCACACTGGTTTTAATAATAAATTTTATATATTTAATATTTCCTTGAACAGTGTTTTAAGAGAACAAAATTATTACAATTATTTAACAGTACGAAGATGAACCCAGATAACGCCAGAGATTTTTTTCTTCAAAATCTTAAATTTAATTTTAAAACTTAAATATTTTATTAATAAAACAAATATTTTTGAATAAGATTTTGTTTGGCATAAATATAGGAGAGTATAGAACTATGTACAACAACAAACTTAAATTATTTATATAAATTCACTGCGATAACGGTGGTTTTAAAAGAGTGGTATTGCGATGTTGATGTTCATTTAAAAGAACGGTGGCACCAAAAGAGCTATCATATTTATGACGGTAATTCAACGTTATTTATACTTAC